GCTATAGAAATAAACTGAATTGAATTGAATTACATCACAAAGGCCTCCAGCTGTGAAACCTGCAGTAAAACAAGACTAAGTTTTTCAAGAACAGAATAAATCTTTGAACAAAATCTTAAAGAAACAGTGTCACTGAAGATAATTTCGTCTTTATTTATGGCATAAACAGACATTTACATCATCTTCATCAGAGATTGTTGCTCTTTTTCTTTCTGACACGGATGCTGAGATGAATTTGATTTATTATCCAGTTTCAGGAAGAGGAAAACTAGGGTTGTCTCTTTTAAGACCTTTTCTCCTGCATTTTGTTTTGGTATCCTGGTGAAAAATCATTGTGCAACTTTATGTTATGTTAAAAAGTTCTTTGTGAGTTTAGCTGGTTTCCCTGCAGAAAAACATTCAAATCAGCAAAAACGACATTCCCAGCATGCAAAGAGAAAGAAAGGAGTTCCAGGTCACAATGGGCCACACACCCAGAAGGACAAATTCAACTGAAGCTATTCTTGATCTCTAATATTTTTGGGATATTCTATTTTTGACTCTGTTGGTTTTAAAGATGGTGTTTGATGAAATGACATGTTTGCGCAGCTGCACAGATTGATTGGGAGAAGAAGGAAAACATTTCAGCAAACTCCAGCTTCTGAAGCTGATCCTTGGACTGATTTTCCATCCCAGCTCTCTTTAAACCTCTACGCATAGTTTCTATTCGATGCTTTTTTCCAGGAATGTCATCGGTTTTCTTGGCACGTCTGTGAGCATCAGCTGGTGGAGCTCCATCTCCATCCAGCAGGAACATTTATGTCATAGGATCAGCCTCATCACACCAACTAAATCATGGATTTAGTATCTGCAGAGTGATCTGACGCTCACAGCTCCTCAGACCAGGAACCATTCAGTGAGATTCAGATCCATGTAAAACCAAGGAGATCCAAAACTTCACGGTGTTCAATCAAAGTCTGCAGAGCAGTGGGGTCCAATTTAATCCTGGGGCGAGAATCAGGCTACAGCAGAACCTGATGTTATGAGGAGGATGTTCTCACCTCAAAGCCAGAAACAGAACATTTGTTCTGAGAAGACAATCAGGCTTGGAGTTTAAGACAACATCATTTCATGCCAAGGTTTCTGCTGAAGGAAAGAACCTTCAAATCCAACTGGGCCTCGTCCCCTAGTTCCCCAGAACCTTGTCATGAGTTCTACACAGAATGTGTCTTTCGCCCCAGCAGCCGAATCGTCCCTTCAACGTCATAAAGCCATCAGCCATTCTCATGTAAACCGAACCAGTTTGGACCGGATTCAGGTATTAAGCTTTGGGTTCTAATAGTTTCTTTTTCTTTGGCTCTGGGAGATTTTCTCCACTCCTGGAGACATTATGGATCCCATTAACAATCAAACAGGTTTTAGTGACTTTGTTTGACCCAGAGTTCAGTCCAGACTTTCTACAGATGGAGTTTGGTTTCTGCAAGGGTGTGAATTATTACCAGATGAGTTTTGCTGAAGTAACTGTAAACGTTGGTCTTGTTCTCCTACAGAAACAATCGGCCAGTGAGGCAGGCCAACAGGACCGCTGGGTTGGACACAGAACCCACAGATACTCTGCCCTTAGGCACCGACTTCCTCCACATTTCCTGGTTCCAGATGATTCTCTTCCTTCTCTGCTCCTCCTCTTCCTCCTTGGTCCCATCCTCCCCAGGTTTTCCAGATGAGGACGATGTGTGAACATCAGTAGAAAAGTATTCCTGTTCAGTAGTAGCTCCTGGAAGAGGACTCTTGGTGCAACATGTCACATCAGTGGTCAAGATACTGGGAACTGTGGGAGAATTGGTTGAAGTATCAAAGAAGGCTACATCTGCAGATGAATGAGTGCCCTCTGGTGCAGGATCGGAGGGACTACTAGTTATATCCCCATCATCCACAGTGTCTGGAACTGGAAAACAGAAAACATCCCAGACACATTAAGGGCCTAGAAATGGTCAAAGCCTGATTACAGTTCATTTATTTGCGCTGAACAAAGATAAAATCAAAGCAAAAACCTAAATTATTTCTTATCCGTAAGACTTATTTCGTTTTGAAGGATGTTAAAAAGAGAATTTAGTAAGATTAATACAAGACAACGAGTTAAAGAGCAGATAGGACGCGTTTACCGAGTAACCTTTATCTAAATGAGGATGATGGAAAACACACAAGAACAAAACCCACACAGGGAAAAAATGGAGAAGAAAAAAAGTTAATCTCTTGAAATGAAGACTCAGACCAAGGGAAGAAATTTGTCTTCAACAGCAGGTAAAGCAAACAAAATCTGTAGCACAGGAACAATGCATGAGGTCTGGGGACTGTTCCACTAAAGCCATGCTGACTAAACATGTCACAAGAAAGTTTGAACTACAGCAGACCAGAGGGCAGTCCTTCTAAACAGCACCTGAACCGACTCCAGTCCTCCAGAGTTCTCTGCTGCTACACACCTGATGAAAAGATTAGCTCATGAGGAGATGGTTCTCTGGGTCACTTAATCCTTGTCCTCAGGGTCATTTAACCCTGGTTCTCTGGGTCACTTAATCCTTGTCCTCAGGGTCATTTAACCCTGGTTCTCAAGGTCATTTAGCCCTGGTCCTCAGGGTCATTTAACCCTGGTTCTCAGGGTCCCTTAGCCCTGGTCCTCAGGGTCA